TCCCGTCCCCCGCCTGTTCCGTGGGGTGCTCCGTTCTGCATGGCGTCCCGTCCCTTACCTGTTCTGTGGGGTGCTCCGTTCTGCATGGCGTCCCGTCTCAGTCCCGTTCTGTGGGGTGTTCCATTCTGCATGGCGTCCCGTCCCAGTCCTGTTCCGTGGGGTGCCCCATTCTGCATGGCGTCCCATCCCTTGCCTGTTCCGTGGGGTGCTCCATTCTGCATGGCATCCCGTCCCAGTCCCATTCCATGGGGCATCCCCCGCCTGTTCCGTGGGGTGTCCCTGGCCTGTTCTGTGGGGTGCTCCATCCCTTCCTGGGCCTGTTCCGTGGGGTGCCGTGTTCTGCAGGGTGTCCCGTCCCGTCCCAGGCCCGTTTTAAGGGGCGTCCCCTCCCATCCTGGGCCTGCCATTGCTATGGTCTGTCTCAGGTGGACAGGAATGTGCGGGCCCCTGGCTGGTTGGGGGAAGAGCGATAGCACCCACGCCTTTCCCCTTTCATCACAGCACCCCCGCAGCCTGCCGCCACCCCGGGGAGGAGGAGACTTGGTGCTGGACAGAGGGGGAACCTTGCCCAATGTCCCGTGGCAGAGCTGGGAACGCACCTGCAGCGTGTGTCCCCCTCTCCCCAGGTGCTCTGGCACTGGAGGGGGAGACACAGGGAATAGCGCTGTTCGGGCCGGGGAGCAGGAAGGGAGTGGGGGGCCCATCAGAGGAGGGGCTGGGTCTGCCTGAATCTAGGTGTTGCTGGACAGTGGGCCCAGCTGGCACCTGCTGAGGTAGTTCTGGATAAATCTGCTTTTCCGGTTTGCACTGGGTTGAATTCACAAGGTTGTTCTAAGTGCGGGACTGGTGAAAGCTGCTGGTCAGTACGGCAGATGGGCTAGTGGGGCGCAGGGCCGCACGGCAGTGTGTGTCTTCGCCCTGGGGCTGCAGGGAGTGGAGGGAAAGCGGATTGTTCCTCCGACGGGAGATGGGAACGTTATGGAGACTGGCCGCTCAGCAGCACGGTGGACTGGCCAGGTGCTCACGTGGGAAAGGGCAGGACATGGCTCCGTCGTGGTCAGACGTGCCAGAGAGCAAGGGTGGAAGGGGGAAGGCAAAGACGAACTTGATAAGAAAGTTACAGTCGCCTTGTGTGGGGGATCAAAGGAGCGATCTGCAGAAATGAGAAACTCTGGCCCCGCTGCTGGGTGGGGCAGGAGCAGAGACAAACCAAAAGGGCCAAACCCTCTCCAGTGTGCGTCAGACGGGGCGACACGAGGAACACTCTGGGCTGGCTACAGGGGTGCAGGCGGGAGGCAGTGAGCGGCTGGAGACGGTGAGCATGGGCTGTGTGGGAGGGGCTGAAGATGTGTCCGTCCCCGGCTGCAGCCGCAGGGCTGATGTTGACATGGGCCTGGACCAGTGGTTCCTCTAATTTTTTACGTCCATGTGCGGAATGAATTTTGTTATGTGCACCAATATGGAGGTGATGTGTGGTGGGGGTGGGGCTGATGGGTTCAGGGTGCAGGAGGGGGCTCAGGGCTGGGACAGAGGATTCGGGTGCAGGGGGTGAGGGCTCCGGCTGGGGGTGCAGGCTCTGGGGTGGGGCCAGGGATGAGGGGTTCATGGTGAGGGAGGGGGCTCAGGGCTGGGACAGAGGGTTGGAGTGCAGGGGGGTGGACTCTGGGGTGGGACCAGGGATGAGGGGTTTGAGGTGCAGGATTCCCCGGGGCTGCGGTGGGGAGAGAGGACTCTCCCAGCCCTCTCTTGCCGCAGCAGTTCTGGGACGGGGGAGAGGCGCCTCTCCCCAGCGCGGCAGGTCGGTGTAGGGCCGACAGGGATAGGCGCCTCTCCCCGGCACGGCAGGTCGGTGTGGGGCCGGTAGGGTTAGGTGCCTCTCCCCGGCG